TGTTTAGATCTCTGTCAGTTTGACGATCTGCAACATTTAACCGAAACAAAAAAAAAAGGAAATGTGAGGGGGGGGGCTAGCAGTTCCTTACACGACTTCTCTACAACAACAGATTAATGAGTCTCTGTGTTACAGGTTGTAACTTTAGTAAATCCAGAGGCTTCATATTCTAATTCTTGAAAATTTGTTTCTCTCCATCATGCAGTTATGTTTGTATTTCATTTTATTTTTTACCTTTTTTGATTTGCATGCTGATGAGACAGTAAATCCACCCACACACAGTCAGTGAGGACACTGATAGCACATTTCCAACTGTCTGGATAACCGCTGACGCAGGGACAAACGGTTCCATTATTTGTCGAGCATTTAGGTGTTTGCAAATGTATTACACAGCAGAATAATTCCTCAGAAAGAAAGAAAAAACAGGAAAATTAAAGAAGATATTAAAATATAACTCATAAATGGTGGGATGTAAAGTTAAAACGTCTGGCCAGCAGATTGAAAACAACCTATCAATTTTTAATCTCAACAAATTGATTCTTTGACATCATTTAATGAGAGTAAAGACTTTCTGCCCTCCTGGCTGGTAAAGTTTAACTGCTCCTCTGATGGCTCTATGAAATATAGTTTAATTATGAACACCTTTGCAGGCAGTTGCCCCAGTGTTGAAACACTTGTTCTGGTGATACGATAGGGCAGAGCTGACAATGAAAGAGACAAAAGGCCCTGAGGTTTCAGGAACAGAGCGACTTTACATGGAGAAAAGGTCATTGCCTGCAGCAGCTTGTTGATATAAGCAGAGACGGCAGAATTAAAGGTGGAAGGGTCTATTAAAAAGGAATAGTTCAAGTTTCCTTAAATGTTAATAAAGAAATCAGAAGCAGAAGCCTGTTGATCATCCTTCCTTCCGTTAGTGTGATGCAACATGGAAAATCAAGCATGCATCCCCAAAGTCGGTCCTGGAGAGCTGCTGTCCTGCAGTTTTCTTTTTTAGGTTTCTCTGCTCCAGCACAGCTGATTTACATTGATAGTTGATTAACAGGCTTTTGTTGAACTGAAATCATCAGAATCAGCTGTGCTAAAGCAAAGAAACCTTTAAAAGCTGCAGGACAGCGGCCCTGGAGAACCGACTTTGGGGATATTTGAAAATAGCAGCAACATCAGAGATGTACAAAATGACAGCAGCATGTTATTCAACTGACTAAGGTAAAATCAGCATGAATGTAACATCTTACTGAGGTTGACGAGAACAGTGATGTTTTTTTTTTCTTGCCTTCAGAGATATTTCCAAAGAGAAATATCAAACTCCATACATTCCTCCATAGAAAATTGGAATACACTGGAAAAACGATCTAGAAATAAGTAAAAATTTCTTAAATTAAGTGTATTTACCCTTAATTTGAGTAGGTAAATTAGATAGTTTGCCAATGGAATCCGTATTTTTACACTTAAAATAAGATAAATAGATAACATTCACTTGAAATAAGACAATGCAATTGTGTTTTTTCATTTTTAATGTAAATTGTCTTGTTCCATTGGCAAAATGTCTCTTTTACCTCCTCAATTCAAGAAGAAATGCACTTATTTTAGGAAAAAATGACTTATCTAGATTTGGATTTTTTTAAGTGTAGTAAGCTTTGACAGTTATAGTAATTGTTTTAAGGTTTGCACTTTTTAGCTTAGCAGTAACCATTACACTCTGAGCCCTGTGTTGTTTCATGCCGTCGCTGTACGCCGTTCCATACCATTTCTGGTTATTAGACGCTTCTTTAGGGAGACTAAACTAAGTCTGTGACCCCACTGGCCACGTGAATTGATTGTGAAAATGTCAAGGTATCACCAGCATGGAAACGACGTGAAAACCCCTTCGATATGAATCCACCATTAGATAAAAATCAGATGCAGTGTTGGTGACATCCTGTTTTCTGTATCTTGTATTCCATAGTTCTCATGTGTTGTTCAGTTTATAAGTATATTCTATTAGCAGGAGGTTGTGACTGGGACATTTCCTGTTAGTGTCCCTGATTTTCAACCCAATCTGTCCCAAACTTTATCTACCGAGGAAATAAACGAGGTCTGAATTTTGCTGCAACTGTAATATGTTCTGTTTTATACCAGGATGGAAAGCAGTAGGAAATCAGACTAAATGAGCGGATTAAAAAGAAGGCTGTCAAAGTGGAGTTAAGCAGAAATAAATCATAGCTGACAGACGGGGATTATAATTCATATCAGAGACATCAATAACATTCTTGTTTCATAAAGGTCACCTGTACTTTCAACTATTTTCCCAAACTTTATTTGTAATAAATTAGCTCAGATGAACACCTTAGCCTTTTCATGTGAAAGACTGATCAATGAGCAAGCTTGTGTAAGAAAAATGGTTGAACCAAATAGAGATCATGAAACGGGGAACATCTATTAGTGTAAACCCTTATTTCCCTCTACTTGCTCACCAGTCAATTTCTTGTGTTGACTGGTGCATTCCCTCTTTTTGATGTCAGCTTTTCCTTCTTTCTTTGAAGCATTAGAAAGGCTGTTTTTCTCACAGTGGGGCCTGCAAGGGAAACAAATGAGCAGACATGTCAGGCTTCTTCAGAAAATCAATATGAAATCAATCCACCAATCTGACTGACAATCAAGTCCATACAAACATTAAGGATAGCTCTTAAATATTCTATATCATGCTTTGTTTATGTAATCAGAACTCACCTCTAGGCATATATATGATGAAATATTGGCTTTCACCCTGTAAAAGATCAATTTATCATAAATTATTACTTATGTTTTAATTGTTTTTTTCTCCAAACCAGAAGAAAGAAGTTACTGCCATACCTCCCC